TTGGGTCCTACCATGTGCCACACCCACAATGGCTGTGCTTAATATACTGTATTAAGAGATTAGGAATAGTTAAAAGCCAGCAACGTGGCAAAGAAAGCCCATGCTATTTCTACTATACCCAAGTTCTGCAAACTCAGGTATAACCTACCTCAGGAAAATGCACAGAATTAATCAATAAAGTTTTTCTTATTAAAGTGAAATTCACATAACAGAAAATTAAGCACTTCAAAAACAACAATCCAGTGGCATTTAGTGCATTCATAATGTGTGCAACCGCCACCTCTAGTTTGAAACTATAGTTCCAAAACATTTTCATCTCCCCAAAATAAAACACTGTATCCGTTTTCCCCCACTCAGGCCACTTGCAACCACCAATCTACTCTCCATCTCTATGGATTTACCTATTCCGGGTTATTTTGTAAGTGGAATCAGACAATGTGACCTTTTGTGTCTGGCTTCTTTTACTTAGCATAATGCTTTTAAGGTTCAGCCTCAAAGCACTGTAGCATAAATCAGTAGTACTTTATGCCTTTTTATGGCCAAATAATAATCACTTGTATGTGCATGTCACATTTTGAAACACGTTTTTCTCTTTTGGCTCTTGTGAAAAGTATTTATATGAACAAGTGTCTACACTGGTCTACAAGTGTTTGTGAACAACTGTTTTAATTCTTCCAGGAGAATACCTACAAGTGGAATTGCTAGGTCATTTGGTAATTATGTTTGACTTTTTGAGAAACCATAAAGCTGTTTACCACAAGGGCTGAACCATTCTTCCTATCAGCAATGAATAAGGGTTCCAATGTCCAATTTCTCCATACCTATAATCAACCAACCTTTAAAACTTAAATTTTAAAAAGCTTAAACTTGGGGACTTCCGCCAAGATGGAGGTTTAAGGTGGATGTGCCTGCCTCCTCACACAACCAAGTTTAGGGACAACTAAATATTAGCATCAGAAAACACAACCAGAACACGGAAAACTGAACTTTTCGGAAGTCCGCTAACAACAAATTCTTCGGCCCGACCGGTAAGGGGCGAAACCGGCGTCGGGTGAGGAGTTACAAAGGAGTCGACCCGGGCGCGGAATCCAGATGCGCGAACAGTCGCACGGGTTCCAAACCAAGGATTGGACCTAGTGAGCAACCGAGCGGCCCACCGGGTGAGCGACTACGGAGGAGTCAGTGGGGAGGCGGTGGCAGCGAGTTGACTGAGGTTGCATGGTTGCACGCGGGTGAGGGAGTGAGCGCTTGGACCGGCGCCGGCGGCTGCGATAGACGGCGGCCGCGGCGGCGATAGCGGGCGCCGCCATTTCCCCGCTCTGACCACGCCCCCACATACAGCGTCACAACCCAGCGACCTGGGAATCCAAGGCGCCGCTCCTCCCACTTAAAGGGCCAGAACAGACCAAAAATGTCGCAGGAAGACCTCAAAGCCCCAGAGATAAATCTAAGTGATGAAGAAATAGCAAATCTCTCAGACGCACAGTTTAAAACACTGGTCATCAGCTTCCTCACAGATCTGGTGGACTATAGCCACAAATTAGAGAAACATATGAAGGCTAAATTAAGGGAAATGAATGGAATTCCACAGGAAAACCATAGAGATGAAAAAAAAACTGGGACTCAAATCAATGGAGTGGACCAGAACGAAGAAGAAAAAAATCATCAGACAGAAAGGAATGAAGAAATAAGAATTCAGAAAAATGAGGAGAAGCTTAGGAACCTCCAGGACATCTATAAACGCTCCAATATCCGAATTATAGGGGTACCAGAAGGGGGAAAGACACAACCACCAGTGGAAAAACTATTTGAACAAATAATAAAAGAAAATTTCCCCAATCTGGCAAAGGAAATAGACTTCCAAGAATTCCAAGAAGCTCAGAGAGTACCAAAAAAGTTGGACTCAAGAAGAAACACACCAAGGCATATCATAATTACATTAGCCAAAATTAAAATGAAGGAAAGAATCCTGGAAGCAGCAAGAGGTAAGGGGACAATCACCTACAAAGGAGTCCCCATCAGGCTGTCAGCAGATTTCTCAAAAGAGACCTTACAGGCAAGAAGGGGCTGGAAAGAAATATTCCAAGTCATGAAATCTAAAGACCTACAACCAAGATTGCTCTACCCAGCAAAACTTTCATTTAGAACGGAAGGACAGATAAGGTGCTTCTCAGATAAGACCAAATTCAAGGAGTTCATCATCACCAAGCCCTTATTATATGAAATGTTAAAGGGACTTATCTAAGAAAAAGAAGTTAAAGAAACATGAACAGTGAAAGGACAACAAACTCACAGTTATTAACAACCACACCTAAAACGAAAGCAAACTAAAAGGGCAGCTAGATCAGGAGTGGAAACATAGAAATGAAGATCTCAAGGAGGGTTAGCAACAGGGGAGTGGGAGGAGGAGACGGGGGGAGAAGGTACAGAAAACAAGTAGCATAGACAGTAGATAGAAAATAGATGGGGGGGGGCAAGAATAGTATGGGAAATATAGAACCTAAAGGACTTGAGACACATGGACATAAACTAAAGGGGGGTAATGGTGGGGTTGGGGGGGCAGGGTGGAGGGGAATGAAGGGGGGAATAGAACAACTGTAACAGCACAATTAATTCAAAAAATAAATAAATAAATTTATTTTTAAAAAAAAAGCTTAAACTTAAAAAATATTATATTTAAACAATGCACTACAGCATAAGGCACAGAATGAATGTTTATCATAGAGGTTAAGCTGAAGCTCTAATTTTATAAATGCTGGAAAACCAGGACAGTAAAGCGCATAGACTTGCTCTAAGTCAAAGCTAAAGGATGTTTCTAACTAGATGGGGCCAGGAGAGAAGAAAATATTTTAGTAGCATTTTATAACTACACCTTCAAATTTACTCACTCCAAGCATCCCTTCAAGTTCCTGACATTAAAATTGTTTCCACTATGTTTTGGAGGATAAACAAGAACCCCAGTAGAAAACAAAAAAGAGAGATGGCTTCCAAAAGGGAGGCAGGATAGCCACTTAAGATATCTGAGCATGAGAGACATGCAACTTCCGCCAAGATGGAGGCATAGGTGGAGACGCTGTGCTTCCTCACACGACCAAGTTTAGAGACAACGAAATATTAGCAACAGAAAACACAGCCAGAACACAGAAAATTGAACTTTTCGGAAGCCTGATAACGACAAATTCTTCAGCCTGACCGGTAAGAGGGGCAAAACCAGCAGCTGGCAGAGCGGGGTAGCACAGGAAAACTCGGTCAGACGGACTCAGGCGCGCGGAATCCAGGCGCAGGGTTGGACCTGGTGGGCAACTCAGCGAGCGACCGCGGGGAGACAACGAGGGAGCAGGGCTGCGGGTTGACTGTGGTCGCGCATTCTTGTGTGGACAGACAGGCGAGGGAGTGGGCGATTGGACGAGGGCGAGCGGAGGCAGAGGGCGCTGCCATTTCCCTGCTCCGACCCCGCCTCCACATACATTGTCATAATCCAGGGGCCTAAGTGGCCCTGCCCCGGTGAACAACCTAAGGCTCTGCTCGTCACCCAGCTGCAAGAAACAGCAGAGGGGGCTGCCATTTCCCTGTTCTTACCCCACCTCCACATACAGTGTCACAACCCAGCGACCTGGTAGTCCAAGGCTCCACTCCTCATACTTAATGGGCGCAAACAGACCAAAAATGGCTCAAGAAGATCTCAAAGCCCCAGAGCCTATAAATCTAAGCAATGAAGAAATAGCAAAACTCTCAGATGCACAGTTTAAAACACTGGTGATCAGGATCCTCACAGAACTGGTTGATTATAGCCACAAATTAGACAAACACATGAAGGCAAAACTAATTGAAATGAATGGAATTGCACAGGAAACCAATAGCGATGAAAAGGAAACTGGGACTCAAATCAATGGAGTGGACCAGAAGAAAGCAAATAATGGCCAAACAGAAAAGAGTGAAGAAACAAGAATTCAAAAAAAATGAGGAGAGGCTTAGGAACCTCCAGGACATCTTTATACGTTCCAACATTTGAATTATAGGGGTACCAGAAGGGGGAAAAGAACAGCCACCAGTGGAAAACTTATTTAAACAAATAATAAAGGAGAATTTCCCCAGTCTGGCAAAGGAAATAGACTTCCAGGAAATCCAGGAAGCTCAGAGAGTCCCAAAGAAGTTGGACCCAAGAAGAAACACACCAAGGCACATCATCATTATATTAGCCAAGATTAAAATGAAGGAGAGAATCCTAGAAGCAGCAAGAGAGAAGGGGACAGTCACCTAGAAAGGAGTCCCCATCAGACTGTCAGCTGATTTCTCAAAAGAGACCTTACAGGCAAGAAGGGGCTGGAAAGAGGTATTCCAAATCATGAAAGACAAGGACCTACATCCAAGATTGCTCTATCCAGCAAAACTTTCATTTAGAATGGAAGGACAGATAAAGTGCTTCTCATTTAAGATCAAATTCAAGAAGTTCATCATCACCAAGCCCTTATTATATGAAATGTTAAAGGGACTTATCTAAGAAAAAGAAGTTTAAAAAACATGAACAGTGAAAGGACAACAAACTCACAGTTATTAACAACCACACCTAAAACAAAAGCAAACTAAAAGGACAGCTAGATCAGGAGTGGAAACATAGAAATGAAGATCTCAAGGAGGGTTAGCAACAGGGGAGTGGGAGGAGGAGAAGGGGGGAGAAGGTACAGAAAATAAGTAGCATAGATGGTAGATAGAAAATAGATGGGGTGGCAAGAATAGTATGGGAAATATAGAATCTAAAGAACTTGAGACACATGGTCATAAACTAAAGGGGGGTAATTGTGGGGATGGGGACGGGGAGAGGAATGAAGGGGGAATAGAACAACTGTATCAGGGTAATCAATAAAAAAATAAATTAAAAAAAAGATATCTGAGCATGAGATTAGCCAAATAAATGACTATTTAAGGAAATCTCCCAATCCTCTTATCTTTGTTTTCCCATAAGCCTTTTCAGCCCCACTCGTGTTTCAAGACAAATCAGATTGGTATACCCCAATCCTTTTAATGCCCCACATTCTTTCTCCAAATATTTTCCAAGTATTTATTGGTCTGGGAGGGAAAAGGGTACTGGGGTGGATTTTCAGGTGCATGACACTTCCAGAGTGGAGAAAACAAAAGCCTCTGGCGTGGCTTCCTGCTTCAGCACTCCTGTCAGCAGGAACTCAGGTGAGAGGATGGGCAGCCCAGCTCGAATTGGTGTGTTGCATCGAGGAACATCCTGGGAGCATGTGATCACAACTCTCTGAGGCTGGGGAAGACAGCACAGATAGAAAGTCAGGTGGAAAAAGAACCCTAGCAATAGGTTTAGGACCCACTCATGTGTCTAAGCATCACTAATATGGTATCTCCTGATATGATGCCATGTGAAGCATACTGCATTGTCTATGAAGTACTCTTATCAGAAAAGTTGAACCAGAATTTATTCAAGCTTTTAAAATTAACTATAATTTACAGGAAATATAAAAGACAGAAGAACAAGATAAATGATATAACCAGGGAGCAAAAAGTCCAATGAAAGTCAGACAGAGGAACATTCTAAAGGACAAGTGACCTAGTTTCTATAGAAAGTCAGAGGGATAAAAAAGGCTGGGTGGGCCCTGGGTGCTATGGATCAGTGGATTGAGCACCGGCCTGTGAACCAAGGGGCTGCCAGTTTGATTCTCAGTCAGAGTGCACGCCCAAGTTGCAGTCCAGATCCCCAGTTGGGGACGTGTGATAGGCAATTAACTGATCAATGTTTCTCTCTTACATTGATGTTTCTCTCCCTCTCCCTGACCCTAAAAGTAAACAACAACAAAAAACCCCTACATACTAAAGAAAAAAAAGGAAAATGTACATATTTTTTAGAGATATGTACTTTAAGTATGTAAGTAGAAATAGGTTTGCAGTTTTTTAAAAAATAATTTAGTAAAGAAGATGGGGGAAAAAAGGGATAGAGTAAATGTAGCAACATCTAAATTAACCTCAGTGATTGGTTTATCGAGGCCCACTGCATTATTCTCTCTCTTTTTGTGTATATTTGCAATTCTTTAAAGTACAAAATAAAACTAAGTCTAACTGATATCAGCAGAGCTCCTCTCATTCCTATCCCTTTCTGTGCCATTTTTCCCAAACCCTCTCACTACTGTGTTCCCATGTGTATTTCCCCAGATCTAGAACACTCCCCACCCGCCCTTACCTTGTAGGACCGGGGCATGCTGGGTAGGACAGTGCCTCCACAGCAACTGATGATCTCTGCCATCTGAGGTGGAGGTGGCTGGACTCCAGGGGTCACATGAATCTCATAGCCCTAAGAGGAAAAAAAAAGGTAGAGGCAGTGGAGAGCATACCAAGAAGCTGTGCACTGTTGGGGAGAAGACAGTCTCTCACCTCTAGCAGCTTTCGCTCACGAGCCCGGCTCAGAGAGTCACGGAGGCTGAAGCCAAAGTTCTTTTCCTGCTCAGAATCAGTCACCACATATTCATCCGGGGGCAAGAAACAACCAGCCTTGTGGGACTAAGGGTGGCAGCAGTCAGTATCAAAGCTCAGGCCAGCCTGTCACCTAGTCCTGCTGCCTAGCAGTTACAGGGAGCTCACAAAGTGTTTCTGAATGAAGTCTTCTACCTGACTCACCCTTGTGTTCCTGCACCCCCTCCCTTGAGTGCTATGTGAGCAGTCTTCTATGTTCACTTTCTCTATACATGTCATCATCTCCTGGCCTCTCACCTGGTGCAGCCAATCCAGGGAGAGGATAGGGATCCCCCGCCCCAGGGCACACAGGAACTTGACTGTCCGGCAGATTCGATCAGTTACCAGGTGGGAAGCTTCTGTTACTGAGCTGGCCAGACTTCCCCCCAGGGCCAACACTGCCTGTTCTCCTCGGGCATCTACCACTCCTGTGAAGAGCACCTGTGGAAGGGATTAGCCTAAATTGGTCACAGCAACCCATACAACAGTGCTAATCTCCCAAATCCCCTAGGTATCCCCCATCCCTCCACTTGTGCTCCCATAAAGCACGAGGCCCCTTCTCTCCTACTTTGGGGGCTGCAGACTCCTGTTTAGGTTTGGTCCGACGGAGGCTACGGCCTGGCACTGCCTTTGGCTCCTCAGCTTGGCCTTTCTTTCTCTTGCCTGGCCCTGGAGTGACTATATCCTGGGATTGAAAAGGATCTTTATGAGGATTTCTGAGTCTCCAAGCCTTTCCCAGCTCGGTGGCCCCAGTCCTCTCCTCACCTCTTCCTTCTCTGTGGGGTCTTCCCCTTTCTTGAGGAACACTGTCTTCTGATGGACTTCCTCTCTTTGGAGCTGTTTTTGAAGTGGGGATGAATCCACAGCACTGAAAGGCCTCTTGCGGTTTCGAAAGGCCTTAGGCTGGGTCTTTGGAGTGAACTCATATCTACCTCCTGCCTCTACCTTTTGGATTTGGGAAACATGAGTGGATGCCTCAGGAAGCTGGGCAAAGGCAGGCTTAGGGATGGCTCTGAGGGACTTGGATACTCTCAGTGCTCGACTTTGGTTCCTTGAGGATTGGAAGTTAGGTTCAAGGGGTGCAGAACAGGGTTCATAGACAATGGGAGTTGTGAGGGACCCATTCTTCCTAGTGGCCCTTGGCCTCCTGCTGCAATTGGTTTGAGGGATGGGCTCAGGGGAAATAGGCTGGTCTGTGGAGCCAGGAGACTGGAATTCAGGGGTGGCAGGAACTGGCACAGCACTTCCTCTCCTCAGTGTCCTGCTCCAACCACTCTGAGCTATGGCCTTGGGGTTGACAGGCTGGTCTTTGGAGGTGGAAGGCTGGCACTCAGGGATTGTGGGGACAACTGGGTTAGGGGTCTTGACAGAGGACCTCTGTGTCCTGCCCCGAGTGGCCCGAGATGTGGGCTCAGGGGTGACAGGCTGGTCTTTGGAGGTGGAAGGCTGGCACTCAGGAACTGCGGGGACAACTGGTTTAGGGGTCTTGACAGAGGACCTCTGTGTCCTGCCCTGAGTGGCCCGAGATGTGGGCTCAGGGATGACAGGCTGGTCTTTGGAGGTGGAAGGCTGGCACTCAGGGATTGTGGGGACAACTGGGTTAGGGGTCTTGACAGAGGACCTCTGTGTCCTGCCCCGAGTGGCCCGAGATGTGGGCTCAGGGGTGACAGGCTGGTCTTTGGAGGTGGAAGGCTGGCACTCAGGGACTGTGGGGACAACTGGTTTAGGGGTCTTGACAGAGGACCTCTGTGTCCTGCCCCGAGTGGCCCGAGATGTGGGCTCAGGGGTGACAGGCTGGTCTTTGGAGGTGGAAGGCTGGCACTCAGGGACTGTGGGGACAACTGGTTTAGGGGTCTTGACAGAGGACCTCTGTGTCCTGCCCCGAGTGGCCCGAGATGTGGGCTCAGGGGTGACAGGCTGGTCTTTGGAGGTGGAAGGCTGGCACTCAGTGACTGCGGGGACAACTGGTTTAGGGGTCTTGACAGAGGACCTCTGTGTCCTGCCCCGAGTGGCCCGAGATGTGGGCTCAGGGGTGACAGGCTGGTCTTTGGAAGTGGAAGGCTGGCACTCAGTGGCTGCAGGGACAACTGGTTTAGGGGTCTTGACAGAGGACCTCTGTTTCCTGCCCCGAGTGGCCCGAGATGTGGGCTCAGGGGTGATAGGCTTGTCTTTGGAGGCGGAAGGGTGGGATTCTGAGGCTACAGAAGAAACTGGAGAGGACGTCATTTTGGAGCACCTCCGGGGCCGGACTTTGGGTTTTGCATGAAGAAGGTCCAACTCTGAAGACAACGGATTCTCTAAAACTTCTTGGCTCCCATTTTGCCTGGTTCTGGGAATGAGTGGTTCTAAAAAAGGTGGAGAGGGAGCAAAGAGGGGCTGAGGAGCAGGATGTTTCTGGTTCTGACAGATGAGGGGGTTTTGGCCTGGGACTGAGGCTTCAGGTACCATCGGAGGCACACAAGCATCTAGGGATTCTGGATCACCCTGGGGAGAAATAGAAGCAAGTGAGAGAGCAAGAGGCAGAGGGAAGAGATAGGACTGGACACTATTCTTGGTACTTGTTACAATGAGAGTACGCTCACTGGCTTTCTCTGTCTCTGACCATCTTCCATTGGTCTGGAAACTTCCCAGGTAGGAAGCAGTCTCCTTTCCCATGAACCTCTCACACAAGGCCAATACAGTGATGGATAGTTGGGAAGAGGGAAAGGGATGTTCTGAATCAGGCTGAGAGAGACAGAACTGGGAAACAGATATACGGAAAATAACAGGTGCCAAGGTAAAGAAACAGAAGCCAACACTAAGGAGTGGAAAATGACAACAGTGGAGAAGCTGGGGAAGAACAAATGAAAGCAAAGTGGAGGGGAGATAGAGAAAGCAGCTCTCACCCTAGAGACTCTCTCTGCAGGTGGCATCTTGCAACTCAAGTGGCCTAGACAGAAAGGAAAGACAAGTGTGGCTGAGGTTCAAGCAGACAGTTACTTAGGGTTTACCATAAAGGCTGTGTGACACCTTGGGTCCCACCCCCCCCACCCCCCCACCCCCGCTTTCACTTACCTCTCTGCCACCTCCCGTGGCTTAATGGGGCTCCCCTTCTTCCACCTGACTGGCTCCCAGAAGCTATTAGGGCTGAAGAGAGTCCCATAAGGTCTCCTGCCCCTCCTTCAGGTTCCAGTGTTGGGCTGGAGGCCTTCCCTTTCTGTTCCATGCTCCCTCTTTTTGTCTCCAGTTTATCTGCACTTCCCTCCAGTATGACCTTAGGTATGCTGACTTCTAATCCACCTGGATCACACTTTCTCTCTGGTGCTGGTTTTTCTGCTTCTCTCTCAAATACTTCTTTTGCAAGAGCCTGCTTTACTATCTCTTGTAATTCCTTGGGTGTCTCAATTTCTACCTTCAAACTCTCCATATCCCTTTCCATAAATCTACTTTTCACCATTTTATTGGACTCTTGTCTCTGAGTGTCTCTAGTTAACACCTGTTTTTGTTCTCTGTCCTTCATCACCCTGGTTAATTCTTCCTCTCTCATCACATTTTCTCTCAGTCCTTCCTGTGGCAGTGTTTTGATTTCCCTTCCTAATGGCCCTCCCTCCAGGGTCAACCTCTCTGCTGATTCTCTTGGTATACTCATGCCTTTCTCTGCAGTCTGCATCCCTCTGTCTTGAATACCCAGTGGCTCTGCATGAAGTGGGCTTTCTGGATGTTGGTCTTGAGGTGTTGCCTTAGGTGAAAAGGGGCAAGAGCCGTAGGCCTCAAGGTGGGCAGAAACAGGCTGGGTATCTGAGGCCTCAAACTCTCTTAGACAGAATGGCTGTGTAGCCAAGACCTCCCATGGTTCATCCAGGGCACCTGGAAGTAGAGTCAGAGAGAGAGAGAAAGAGAGGTTGAGAAGGTTAACAGATTAAGAAAGGATTAAGATAAATTCATATGAGTTATCTAAATCTATATGAGTTATTAAAGAAAAGCTGGGAATAAGGATTATTTGTAGCATTTAATGTTTCTCTCAAAAAGTAAGACCATAGCCATGGCTGGTGTGGTTCAGTGGACTGAGTGCTGGTCTGTGAACTAAAGGGTAGCTGGTTTGATTCCCAATCAAGGCATATACCTGGGTTGCAGACCAGGTCCCCAATACGGGGCATGTGAGAAGCAACCGCACATTGATGTTTCTCTCCCTTTCTTTCTCTCACCCTTCTCCTCTCTATAAAAATAAATAAGTAAAATCTTTTTAAAAATAAAAAAAAAACCATACTTTCATATAAAAGTGCTCACAGAAGCCTCTTAAAAATATGCTAGACAAATTGCTCTACGAGTCTCTAAATTAATGGCTTTTTTCCCTAATAAGATGGAGAAACATCAGCAAATAAAGTACATGAAAGAAACATGTAGAGGAAGAAACAATGATGCAAAGTTAAGGGCATGGAGGAGGGCGGCTTCTTATACCTGGGGCCTGGGAGCCACCACGGGAAGGGGCAGGCTCCTGGGGTAAATGGGAAGGCCTAGGTGGATTCACCCTCTAAGCTCTGGGCTGCTTCGCAAGGAAAATGTCCTGAGCACAGCTCCTCCGGAGAACCCCAGTCTCCTGCCCTGCCTGTGCCAGCTTCCACAGCCTTCAAAGGGCACCAGTCTAATCTTATCCCAGCTTCTGATCGTGTACCAGCATCCCCATGACACAGATGTCCTCACCTTCCATGCTCTGATTCTCTCTCTCCACAAAGCACTGGGTAGCTTGTAGGTCCAGATTTTCAGAATCTGGTGAGGGAGAAAGACAGGATAATAAGAAAATCATATCTGACCCATAACACCTTTTTCTCTATTTTTATCTTCCCAATGGACTGAGTATCAGTGTCCCACCCCACATTCTTTCAAAAACATTTTTTAAAACTTTTACTAGTATTTATTTTATGCTGAATTTACTTCCCAGCCATAAGTTTGTGTTTCTTCAGTTTCTCCTGGGGTATCTTTTTCTTCTGTGCAAACTCCCCTCCAATTAGGAACAATCTGCTTCTTCTGTAAGATCATCTCGGTGTGACAGGGAGAGCTCATGCACCAGTCAACCCATCCATGAGCTCTGTAAAGTTCTGCACTGCATCTTGGGAGCCTATGTGCTCAATGACCAAAAAATCTAGCCCTGGTTAGTGTAGCTCAGTGGATTGAGCGCAGACCTGCGAACCAAAAGGTCACAGGTTCAATTCCCAGTCAGGCACATGCCTGGGTTGTAGGCCAGGTCTCCCAGTTGAGGACACACGAGGGGCAACCACACATTGATGTTTCTCTTCCTCTCTTTCTCCTTCCTTTCCCTCCTCTCTTAAAAAAAATCTATATCTACCCAGGCTGGTGTAGCTCAGTGGATTGAGCATGGGCCTGCGAACCAAAAGGTCACAGGTTCAATTCCCAGTCAGGGCATATGCCTGGGTTGCAGGCCAGTTCCCAGCTGCGGACGCACGAGAGGCAACCATACATTGATATTTCTCTCCCTCTCTCCTTCCTTTCCCCTCTAAAGGTAAATAAATAAAATATTTTTAAAAAATGGAGAACTACAGAAAAAAATCTATATCTAAACTCTTAAGTTCAGCATTATTCTTTGTATTTTTAAGCACATGCAGCAAAAATTTAGCACTCTTTTGAGGCCACTCACCCTGTGTCAATCCCCACTGTCTGGCCTGGGCACAGGCCATTGTGGAGTTGATACCAACTCCACCATTGTATCAATGGAATGGGACACATTACTTCTTTAAAGTGGCATCTTTCAGTACTTGGTGGCTTTTTGAATATGCACACCCCTGATGGCCTGGTAGATTCACAAGTGTTCTTAAAGTGATCATGAAGAGGTGAACCTCTTGATTTGCATACTTTTGTGAGGTTTTCTGGGTCATGTGAATAGTAGTAAACCACTTTTGGCTTCTGGCTTCTTTCAGGAAGATACCACTCCACATTCTTTTTTTGTTTTTAAAGATTTTATTTATTTTTTGAGAGAAGGGAAGGGAGGGAGAAAGAGAGGGAAGAAACATTAATGTGTGGTTGCCTCTCATGTGGCCCCCACTGGGGACCTGGCCTGCAACCCAGGCATGTGTCCTGACTAGGAATCGAACTAGCAACCCTTTGGTTCACAGCCCATGCTCAATCCACTGAGCTACACCAGCCAGAGCAGCCACTCCACGTTCCTATTCTAATACCACATTGTGATGCCATTAGGAGGTAGGGCACTTGGGAAGTGATTAGGTCCTCAGGGTAGAACCCTCATGAATGGGATTAGTGCCCTTATAAAAGAGACCCCAAAGAATACCCTTGTGCCCTTTTGGCATTTAAGGACACAGTGAGAAGCAGGCCACCTATAAACAAGGAAGTGAGCCCTCACCAGATAATGAATCTGCCGTTGCCTTGATCATGTACTTTCCAGCCATTAAAACCATGAGAAATAAAGGTTTATAAGCCATCCATTCTGTGGTATTGTTTATAGTAGCCCAAATGGACTAAGTCCCCCTATAAACTTTCTTTATCTTAGGGGTCAAGGGAGGAGGGCAGGCCAGCACTTACCATCATGGTTGTCTCCAGAGTCCTTGGTCGTGTCCACACATGGTTCTCTCCCTCTTTCTCTGGGGGGCTGGGCAAATCCCTTTCTCTGTGGCTGGTTGGGTTCTCCTGGAGTACCTGTGTCTACCAAGAGAGCTGTTACATTCTCCCTTGAGACAAGATGGTCCTGCTCCACCTGTGCTACAGGTGGCTCACCCTGGGCCCCTGCCTCAAGAACTCCCTCCTGCTGAAGAACAGATACAACCCACTCTGTCCCAACAACCCCTTCTGTTAGAAACTGACTCTTTCTTACATCAGCCTCTGCTTCACTGTCCCCACCTGGAGGAGGCTGGGCTTCCTCTAGATGCATCACAGGTAGCTTTGCTGGACCCCCTTCTGCTTTCACATTTGTTTGACTTGTCCACGACACAGGCACCTGATGCTTCTCTGGAAGTATAACAGCTGGTCCTGGGGGCATTTCCTCTTCTACTTGTGTGCTGATGCCCACTTTGGTAGAGGCTTGGCTTCTTTCCAGGGAGACTCCAGATGAGCTCTTATCTTCTTTCACTTCTCTAACACTGGCCCTGAAAGGAGGTTGGCTATTTTCTGAATACACTTTGCCTGTGTGACCCTTGTGAACATATTCTCTCTTTTCTACTGGGAACTTCTCCTTCTCTACTTCTGTGTCACTGTCTCTCCCAGAAGAGGTTTGGCTTTGCTCAAACAAATCCAAAGGTTGGGCTTGATCCTCTTCCATATCTATATCTTTGTTACACACAGCAGCATGGCTTTCTTTCAGACGTGCTAAAGTGAGTGCTGCTGACACTTCTTCCTCGTCATCTGTATTGCTGTTAATCACCATAGAGGCTTGGCTGCGTCCCAGAGGGACTGCGAATGGGGACTCAGTCTCCACATCTGTGTCACTACCAGCCAAGCTCTCTTCAAGATGTGCCAGGTCAGGTCCCCCAGGACTCTCTGTACTAACACCATGGAAGATTTGCCTCTTCTTCACAGGAACTACAGCTGGGGTTGCAGGAATCTCTTCTTCTTCCATGTCAGTGTCACTGTCTATGAAGTCAGAAAGCTGGGCCCTTTCCAGATGAACCTCAGCTGACCTTCCTGGAGGCCTGCTCTCATCATCCACACCTGTTTCACTGTCCTCTTTAGCAGGTTGGCTTCTCTCAAGAATCATCCCAACTGGAACCACCCCATTGCTTGTATCCCTCTCAGCTCTTGCGTCGTTGTTCCTTTCCTTCCCTGAATGTTGATTCATTTCACAGTGGATTTCAGTTGTGACAGCTTTAGGCTGCTCTGTCTCTGCAGTGGCATCTCTTGTGGCAGCTGAGCAGGCCTCCCCTACTGCTGGTTGTGGACTTTCTTCCTCATCTGTGTCACTGTCAAAGTTGAAGGCACAAGGTGGCCCAGGACCATCTGGGGCAGAAGGCCCCTCTTCATCACTATGACGGGAAGAGAAGAGAAAGAATTTATTGAATCTATTTCCCAGGAAGGGATACATGACTCATCTGTGAGCTCCTGGAGGACAAAGACAAGGTAGTATTTATTTTTCTATCTCTAGCAATTAGTTCTCCATTTGGCACATCAGAGGTGCTTAATGAAAATTCAGCTAGTGAAAGATTATGTGTAGCTCCCCAGCCCTCACTTCCATGATAATTCTTTCTCTTAGAGATGGATCCTTTAGTCTGGGGTTCCTTCTCTTTTGGAAGACTCAGGTATCTGGCCCTTCAGCAATTACCTCTCTGGAACAACTGTTGCCAAAAGGGGGAACATGGTCCTTGGTTCTTCCACCATACACCTTTCAGAAAAAGGATCTGCCAAGGGTAGAATGAAGTAAGTTGACAGTTTTTCACCATCCCCATCTACTTACCCACCCTCCCAATACACACACTTACCTACTTCCTCTTCTGAGTCCTCAGCCAACAGATTCCCCCAAGGTTGAGCTCCTCCCTGTACCCTGGGTGTCTCCTGTACAGTTAGGGGGCCCCAGGAGACAAAGGGCAGGGAGACATCCAGGCGATGGTACTGGCAAGGCAAGTCGGCAAAGACAACCAACTCCTTGTCTCTCAGATGATGACTCACCCCAGGGTTCAGGAACTTAGGAGGCCTCAGGATTTGCGTACCATTGAGGCTCCCACAATCCTGGAGAACAGCGGCCTTGTTCCAGGCCAAGATTTCAATCACTGCATGTTGTTTGGAGATGGTTGGAAAGGGCAGGGCTACAGCGCAGTCAGGCATTCGGCCTACCACATTCTTCCCGAGGTACAGTGGGAAATCTAAGAATTAAAGAGGCAGGTAGGTTCCAAGGCCACATTCCTGGCCCGTTATTGGGAAATTTTCTGGTTAAGTACCTAGCTACTCACTTGAAGTTCCCACATACATTAGAAAAATAAAAGGCCCTAAGACATTTAAGTATTAAAGAATATATATAATATATTATTCATACTTAACACCCACCCATCCATACTAGATTTTTTCTATTGTTATAAAATGTACATAAAGTAAAGCATTTTAACCATTTTTAAGTGTACAATAAAATCACCCCCAGTGAGTCCAGAGCCCTTGCCTGGAATGGTCAAGTCAATCAGCCCCCTCTTCTCTATTCCCAGTAAAGAGTTTTGTCAGATACCTGTGAAATATATACAAACTTCTTACAACCCTCCAACTACTTCCCCACAAAAATAAAAGGTCTATAGTAGCACCCATACCCCCTGACCTTTTTCTGGTCCGTGGACACTACTGAAGATACGCAGTCGCCCTAAGGGCTCCAAGCTACTCCCCAATGAGTCACTGGGTCTCTCTGTCTCCTCCTCTTCTTCAACCTCCCAGTTAATAGCCTGAGTATCCTCCATGATCTGGGAAGGAAACACACTGCCATCATTTCTATCTTTGGCTCACACACAGTCTTAGCAAGTAGACTCACAACTGGGGGTAAACCTGAACCTGGATAATTAGAGTGTGATGCTTCTCTTTATGCCAAGCATTCTGTTGTTAACCTTCTAAAGCATTGAAAAAAACATTTTTGACTATGACACAGAATAAAAAAATATAAGGTTCCAAGTTTACAAGTAGATGTTCCTCAGCTTACAGTGTAGTTACATCCCAATAAATCCATAAAAATCCATAAGCCGAAATGCACTTAGTACACCTAACCTACCCAACATCATAGCTTAGCCTGGCCTACCTTAAAGGTGCTCAGAACACTTACATTAGCCTACAGTTCAGCAAAATCATCTAACACAAATCCTATTAGATAATAAAGGGTTGAATATCTCCTGTAATTTATTATGTATACCACTTTTGCAATACTGTAAAGTCAAAAATTCATAGCCTAGAGAATACCTGTTTATAAAACACACATATTGCCCTGGCTGGTGTCGCTCAGTGGATTCAGTGCCAGCCAGCAAACCAAAGGGTTGCCAGTCCGGTTCCCAGTCAGGGCACATGCCTGGGTTGCAGGCCAGGTCCCCAGGAGAGGGACAAGAGGACAACCACATATTGATGGTTCTCTCCCTCCCTCCATTCCCCTCTCTAAAAATAAATAAATAAAATCTTTTAAAAAATAAAAAATAAAACACACATACTGGGGTTCTGGCCAAGATGGAGACATACATAGATATGCTTTGCTTCCCCGAACAGCCAAAAGAAAGACAACAACCAACTTAAAAACAAAAAACAACCACAACTGCCCCAACATTGAACTGTATGTAAGTCTGACAACCAAGGAGTTAAAGAAGAAACATTCATTCAGACTGGTAGAAGTGGAGACAGGCAGCTGGGGTGAAGAGGACATGTGGCAAGGTGGCGGCTGGCGGACGGGGTCCACCTTCTTAAGTGGATAAGCCAGGAAGAATAACTGGAAAGCAAGACAGACTGTGCAACCTAGGGTTATATCCAACAAATATCTACCCAGCAAAGCTATCATTTAGAATGAAAGTGCAGATAAAGTGCTTCCCAGATAAGGTCAAGTTAAAGGAGTTCATCATTACCAAGCCCTTATTATTTGAAATGTTAAAGGGACTTATCTAAGTAAAAGAAGATCAAAACTATGAACAGTAAAATGGCGACAAACTCACAACTATCAACAATTGAACCTAAAACAAAAACAAACTAAGCAAACAAAACAGGAACAGAATCACGGAAATGGAGATCACATGGAGGGTTATTGGGGAGGGAGAGGGAGGAGAATGGGGGAAAAGGTACAGGGAATAAGAAGCATAAATGGTCTGTACAAAATAGAAAGGGGGAGATTAAGAATAGAATGGGAAATAGAGAAGACAAAAAACTTATATGTACCACTCATGGACATGAATAAGATGGGGGAAATGCCAGTGGAGGGGGATAAATGAGAGAAAAAAACAGGATAACTGTAATAGCATAATCAATAAAATACACTTAGACTTCCGGCCAAGATGGAGGCATAGGTGGAAACATTGTGCCTCCTCATACAACCAAGTTTAAAAACAAAGTTTTAGTAACAAAAATGCAACCAAAACACAGAAAATTGAACTACACTGAAGTCCGACAACAATAAACGGTTCAGCCAGACCAGTAAGAGGGGCGGAGCCAGTAGCTGGCCTAGCCGGGTTGCGCAGGAAAACTCAGCCAGACCAACCCAGGTGCAGGCAGCGGTTGGCGAATCCCAGACGTAGGGTTGCAACAGGCAGACCCAGTGAGGGCGCAAGGCAGCAGGCTGACCACAGTAACACATTCGCTTGCAGATAAACCAGGTGAAGGAGCGAGCAGTGAGTCAGACTGCTCAGGCCGCAGCGGCGGGAAGCAGAGGAGGGGACCACAATTGCCCCTCTTTGACCCCGCCCCCACAGCGTCACAACCCAGCAACTGAGTTGCCCCACTCTAGTGAACATCTAGGGCTCTGCCCCTCATACATAACAGGCGCAAACAGGCCAAAACACTGTGGCTCAAGAAGAACTCAAAGCCCCAGAGCCAATAATTCTAAGCAACCAAGAGATAGCCAACCTATCAGATGCACAGTTCAAAACACTGGTGATCGGGGTGCTCACAGAACTGGTTGATTTTAGTCACAAATTAGAGGGACAAATGAAGGGAAATGCACAGGAAACCAATAGTGATGGAAAGGAAACTGGGACTCAAATCAATGGGGTGGACCACAAGGAAGAAAAAAATGACCAAACAGAAAAGTATGAAGAAACAAGAATTCAAAAAAATCAGGAGAGGCTTAGGAACCTCCAGGACATCTTTAAATGCTCCAACATCCAAGTTATAGGGGTACAAGAAGGGGAAGAAGAAGAGTGACAAGTGGAAAACTTATTTGAACAAATAATAAAGGAGAACTTCCCCAGTCTGGCAAAGGAAATAGACTTCCAGGAAGCTCAGTCTCAAAGAAGTTGGACCTAAGAAGGAACACACCAAGGCACAGCATAATTACATTAGCCAAGATTCAAATGAAGGAGAGAATCCTAGAAGCAGCAAGAGATAAGGGGACAGTCACCTACAAAGGAGTTCCCATCAGACTGTCAGCTGATTTCTCAAAAGAGACCTTACAGGCAAGAAGGGGCGGGAAAGAAGTATTCCAAGTCATGAAATTCAAAGACCTACATCCAATATTGCTTTATCCAGCAAAGCTTTCATTTAGAATGGAAGGGCACAAAAAGTGCTTCTCAGATAAGGTCAAATTCAAGGAGTTCATCACCAAGCCCTGATTATATGATTTCAGTTAAAGGGACTTATCTAAGAAAAAGGAGTTAAAAAATATGAACAGTGAAAGGACAACAAACTCACAGTTATTAAGAACCACACCTAAAACAAAAGCAAACTAAAAGGACAGCTAGATCAGGAGCAGAACTATAGAAATGAAGATCACATGGAGGGTTAGCAACAGGGGAGTGGGAGGAGGAGAGAGGGGGAGAAGGTACAGAGAGTAAGTATCATAGACGGTAGGTAGAAAATAGGGGGGAGGGCAAGAATAGTATGAGAAATATAGAATCTAAAGAACTTGAGACACGAGGGCATAAACTAAAGGGGGAGAATGGTGGGGGAGGGGTGCGCAGGGTGGAGGGAAATGAAGGGGGGAAATAGGATAACTGTAATGGCGTAATCAATAAAACATATTTAAAAAATAAAATACACTTAAAAACACATTTATATAGACATTTTGAGAAACAATGGTTAGACTTACTATATGTTTTCATTGTTTGTTTCTATTTTCTATTTCTACATGCTGATTCGCTTCCCACTAAATTGATTTCAATATTTACTATTGGATTGCAACTCATTGTTTGAAAAACACTATTTTAAAGGGAAGTAACTTTTGCCAAGCATTAACTATGTGTTGGTAATTGTGTTATGTGTCAGGCATAGTAGTCATATGAGGCCAGCATTTAGGAAACTAAGGTGAAAAATATTATTTGCTCACAGTAAAACAGCAGGTAACTGTAAAGGGTAGGAATAAATGTGCTTTTAGCTTCAAAGCCCATGCTTTTTACTCTTTACCATGCAATTTCAGTGTGATCAGAATAAACTGACTCATTTAAATATCTAAAGAATCTTGTAAAGTATTATTATGCTCTATTTCTTTGCTAAAGAAACTGCAACACAGATAGGTTAAGTAACTCAACCAAGATCATCCAGATAATGCCTCTCCTCTGTTTAATATTCTTTGATGGCTTTCCATGCTCTCAGAATAAAATAAAATTTAAACTCCTTAGCAAGAGCCAATATGATCTGAACTTGACCTCCATGCATTCCTCACCCTCTCACACCCTAAAAAGCCACATGGGCCTTCTCAATCTCTGAACACACTGTCCCCATTGCCCCACATCTGCATACCTTAGGCCAGCACCCTTTGGCCCTTGGCTCCTAGTTTTCCGGTCTAACTCCTGCCTATTCTTTCCCACTCAGCTCAAAGGTCACTTCCTCAGCAAAGCCTTTCCTGGAGTCTTCCCCACTTCCTGGTGTTCCTAATGTATTCACCACAGTGGTCAATAGACTGTATGTATCCCGACACTTCTCACCATATTGTAACCATTTCTGCCTTCACATACCCACTGGAGAACTGGACCAGCAGAACTAACTGTGTCTTTTCCTGTATGGCCCATCATGTTCGCTTAACAGTAGTTATTCTGCACCTGGTACCATCCAAAGTATTAGAGATACATTCACGAACCAAACATAAAATTAACCCTGCCCTCCTGGAGGTAACATCATGGAGTCTACTGATGAAAGAACCAATGGAAGTGGATAAAAACTCATTAACAGGATGGGTGAAATTCACTTAGATGCCACCCTAGGGAGAAACCGTTGATAGGGAAATTGGGAGGCCTCCAATGGAGATAGTGCTCACTCTATCCTTATGACTGGCGAATTCTGCGGGTGCCCAAGACCCTTGGCTCCAACCCAATAGGCTACCACCTTTGATCCCCAACATGGTGGATTTCCTCCGAGCCCAACGGTCTCCCAAGTGTCCTCATACCGAAACTCGGGGTAGGGCGTCAAGTAAGGATGAGTATTACAATCCGAGAAGAAACTTCCAAATCTCCTCCACCCAGTCGCACCCAAGACATGCCCCTCCCACACCCCAGAGAAACAAGATGGCACCCCAGCAGCGCGGGCGCTGACCCCCAGAAGTCACCTACTTTGAGCCTCTGCGCGCGCTACCAGTAACGGCCACGACACAGTGGCGCGAGCGCGCCAACCTTGGTCGGAGCTGATTCGCTGATTGGTTCCAGCCGCTGTCTTTCACAGCTCCGCGGCGTTGAGCGTGCGAAGGCACAGCCAACAGCCAACGCCCCTTCCCCGCCCCGCCCCTACAGCTGAAAGGGGCGGGATTTCATATGCCAGAGACGGATGAGAGAGGCGGAGTTCGACGTGCGCGCACACAATAGCGCAACTCGATTGGGCAGCTCCAGGGATTCCACCCAGGACCCATTGCCCACTTCCCGCGCAGACATCCAATCCGCGACCAGAGTCTCGCTGCTTGCGGCGCCTAGAGGGGCTTACCACAGTCCCCGTTAGTTTCTGGTTCGTCCAGAGTACCCCTCCTAGGGATTTCCAAATATGGTGGTTGCTGAGTCACGGAAATGAAAATGGCTTGCGGATTGCTGTCGTGGCCGGAGGCTGCATTTTGGAGAACAGCCCGCAGGCCTGGCGTTTCAGGACTCCTCATTGCAGTGGGGAGTTCATTTCCTTTGATTTGTTTTTCATGTCATCTCCCTGAGAAAACAGCCCTAGTGGATATTTTGAGGTCGTTTTCCTAAAGCAGAGATCCCTAGCCATCTTAAAGGCTGATCCAGTTCTTTCAAGAAGTGAAGGAAGGATAAAATAATCTATTTTGTTATGTCATACTAAGACAAGAAAAGAATAGTAATTTGAGTTGTGTATAATGTAGAGTTCTTTTTTCATTCATTACCTCACTTCATTCTGACCAAAAAATCCAATAGGTAGGAGTGGTAGGGGACTTAAGAGTTGGAAAACTGTAGTTTAAGTTAAATAATTATAAGTCTAGCAAGTAATGTATATGTTAAAATTTTTGTTTCAGAAACTATAGATAAGGCCCATCTGGGCTCCTGGAAAAACAGCCGACCTCCTGGGGCACTGCTAGAGATTACCACCTGGAGACAAGTGGGGGCATCCAGGCCATTGTGTTTCAGGGAGATGCAGACAACCATCCACCCCTGGGAACAGCTAACCGCCTAGGACAGGAATGTTGCAGTTTCTTCTACCTGACCCTCCCCGAATTTCAAAATCCCTCACTGCACCTTGTTTATTCCCTGCTATAAAAACCTTGGTCTGGAAAGAAAAGACAAGATAGTCTGTTAGGGTATGAACCCACCATCTCAGATCACTGGCCATCTGAATAAAACGCCTATAAAGATTCAAACGCTGTCATTGCTTATTGGGTTTGGTAGTGACAGGCAGCCCGAAAGCCGGTGTCTTTTCCGGTTTCAGAAGTAGATTTTTACAGAGGTAATTGAAGCTCTGCTAAGTTAAATGACTTTGATAGGTTCGGTAGTGACAAATTGAGACAAGTCCTTTAATTCTAAATTCTAAGCTCCACAGCCACAAAAATAACTTGCATTGTGATCATGCCCTAAAACATTTTTTTAAATTCCATTTTACAGTAAGTAGAGGGGTCTTCTTACACAACTTAATGTTTTTTTAAGGTTTTATTTGTACATTTTTTCTTTCTAAAAAAGGGAGAGAAACATCAACCTGTGACTGCCTCTCATTCGCCCCCCCCCCTCCACCCATTGGGGACCTAGCCTGCAACCCAGTTATGTGCCTTAGATGGGGAATTGAACTGGTGACCTTTTGGTTCACAGGCTGTCACTCAATCCACTGAGCCATACCAGCCAGAGCTTATTTATACATTTTTATAGAGGGGGAAGGAAGAGAAACATCTATTGGTTGCCTCTCCCATGCCCCTAGCTGGGAACCTGGACTGCAACCCAGGTGTGTGAATGGAGCTGGCAACCTTTTGATTTTCAGGCCAGCACTTAATCCACTGAGCCACACCAACCAGGGTCTAATGTTCTTTTATTTATAAAATGACTGAGAGATGTATATTAAATCCAATGTGAACTAACAGTGAAGACCTTGATATGTCCTCTCTTATAGTACTTACCACACTCCATTGTTCATACACTTTTCACCAAACTGCAAGGTCCTGGAGGCCAGGGATCTAATTCATAATCATTTTTGTATCCCTAGCTCCTGTTTTGCAGGACACTCAATATCAAGTGAAAAACACACCACTTTGAAGGGAATTTAAGGGGAAAAATGAGGAGGGATTTTGAAGAACAAGTATGAAAGATACAGGGATGAGGTCTGTGGGGAGGGAGGGGATGGGAGGGAGGTGGGGAGACGGGGTGGAGGGGGGGTTGAGATGGGAGAAACTGACAAAAGAAAACTACTTGAAAAATAACTCAATAAATTAAAAAAAAAAACATGCCACTTTGATTTGAGCCCATCCAGTTTTGTCCCATGAATACCCCCTCACCCATTATAAAATTTAAATCCTGAGGCTCTTGAAAGGTTGCAATTGCCAGCCACTAAGTAAAATCAGCAAACTGAAAAATTAGCGACTTTATCAAAGTGTCTAATGGCAGGCTGGAAAGACAAATTGTAGCAGGCGATGTCATCCCATGGTTCTGTTTGACAAAACCAGATTCTTTAATGTTGCTCTAAGGCCCAGATCTACAGGGACAGAGATTTCCAGTTTCACAGATCCCAGATACCAGCTTCTCTAAACCACTCCATTTATTCTTTGAACATCCACACAATTACGTCTCTATTCTGCAATGCCCTTGCTGCAATTTTGTTTCTCTTTCTAAATATTATCTTTAGAAAACTACCAAGGAAATAGCAGGAAGGTAACCCCTCCTTCTTCCTGCGGTATCTGGGGGGCAGCGATTTAGTGTTCATGCCTTCCATTACCAAAAGGCCAGTTGTTAGCAGAGCTGAGTGCCACGTTTCTCTCCAGTTTTCGCTGAGCTAAGCAGTCCAGTCTTCCCTAGAGCTACCGCAGAGGGGAGCTTTCAGGGCGTGGCCACCCCACTTTTAATCGCCTGACACCCTAAGTTCCCAATTCCTGCAGCTCCAAAAACGAGTGCCTTTTTGCATTAAAAAAAAAAAAAAAACACCACTCGCACACTTCAGTCTTAGCGGAAAGTTATCTTGGGTAAGGTCATTTTCATAAAACGCCAGTAACCAAAACCCCCAAACCCAGCATCCACCCATTCCTCCCTTCGTCTTTTTGCCTTGTGTTCAACAATGGATGACTACAACTCCCAGAGAGGACTGTGCTAGTTCACTCGAGCAAAGACCAATGGTCGTCGCCTACCTGATCGGCGTCGACTAATCAGGGCCAGCTTCATCAAGGCTTTGTCTGTGAGTGCTGCGCGGGCCCGTCTCCCGCCTCCCGCCGGCGCACGCGCGCCCCGCCCTGCCTTCCTTGTCTCCCGAGCCCTGCCCTCTTCTTTCTCCCTCTCAGAACCTTCCTGTCGCTGCGTTCGGACCGCGCTACTCCAGCCTCCCGGGCACGTCTTGTTCTACCTGCCTGTGAGCAGCAACAGAGAAAAAAAATTACATATTTTCTTGCCCCATTTTTTTAAGGCGAGCAAAAAATTTTAATTTGAACCATGAGAGAAATCGTGCACATCCAGGCGGGTCAGTGTGGCAACCAGATCGGTGCCAAGGTAAGGACTTTTAAACCTCTTTTAAATGAATTTCTTTTTGAAAAGAAAAACACCCAGATAAACTATGAAGAAGGGTCATGGGCTGTTTGCACTCTCCAGCCTTAACCAAACTTTGCCAAAAAGAAGTTTTATATGTGTAATACACAATTGTAGCTAGAATTTGCTTTTGAAAAGTGGAAATTATTTTTCTCGGCAGAGTCATTTTAGGGAAGGTATCAAAAGCACCCTCGAGGTTTGCGGGGTGGGAAGACCGAGGTCCTGAAGGTTTTACTTAAAGGTAGTCTCCTAACGGTCCGAGGGCTGGGGAGAGAGGGAGATGCCGAAACTGGCTGAGACAAAGCGAGGCAAGGTTCCTACATGTGGAAACCCTTGGCGGGGTTTCCTGGGCCAGGCCAGTGGGGGAAGGGTTGAGGCTGGGGGAGCAGCTGCAGAGCTGCGGACGCAGTGCGCCAGGGTGTGGGGCACTGTGCGCCGTCTTCACAAAAGACCAGGGATCTCCGCTGAACCCCATGATGCTCTCGAATGGCGGGCCAATAGTCTTTTGTGGATGGAAAACTAATATGAGCTGGATTTAATTTGCTGCCTTTATTTCCCCTTAAAGAGACCCTTTTAGGGGCTTGAATAAGAAAAAGGGGTCCTTTTCTTTAAAGGATGTCTTGAGGCTAAATAATAGTGGGAGAAAGGAAGAGAATCCTCATTTAAAGGAAGAGGAGAGGGAAAACTAGCCAAGGGATAAAATTCCGGGGCGAATCCCCCCCACCCCCGTGCGCGGCTACAATGTAGCGGGGTGGGGTTGGGGGGTGGAGGAAGTGCGGCCACTACGTCGCAACAGCCGCAGGCCCAGGGCAGACACTGTGCGGCCCTGCGGGCAACTAGGGGGCGCACTAGCTCCAGCTAGGCCGAGTCTCCGGGTGTGATTTCGCGCCTTGACCCCGCCCACACACGCCGCCTCCCTTTTGTCAGAGGCCTTGCGCGCCCTCGCTCCGAAGTGGTGTGGAGGGTTAGGGTGGGCAACTGCGGCAGCTGGTTTCTATCCGCTCTATATGCGCTGCGTGGAGGGTGAGGGGTGAGCCTATGTAATCAGGTGGGCCTCCTCAGTCCATCCCACCAGTGCCTGTAATTGCAGGGCCCTACTAGGTTGTCATCATTTCACATCCCAAGTCGGCTTTCCCGGAGGTAGACTTTTTTTTAGGGGAGGGGCGTGGCAGGCAGTTTAAGGGGATGCCAGACCCTAGAGCAGTTTGGAGTTAAAGTGATGGAGGCAGGGGCATAATTGGTTGGGATCTGAGCAGTGAGGATTCATTTTGTTTTCCCCTCAGTTCTGGGAGGTGATCAGTGATGAACACGGAATCGACCCTACTGGCACCTACCACGGGGACAGTGACCTGCAGCTGGATCGAATCTCCGTGTATTACAATGAAGCCACAGGTGAGGGAATGAGCCCTGGAAGATCAGGTTCCATCTCTCCTACTTCTGCGGTCTCTTTCCATTCCTAGGGAACCCCTTATCCTCTTTGAATGAATCCATCCTTTCCCTTTGGAGACTTTCTTCAGTTTAATTTCTCACCATGGGGGCCAAAGACTAGCTCTGCTGCCACCTAGCAGCAGCACCTGGAATAACAAATTTGGGTCCCTGGCTGTTACCTAGCCCCAATTTATTAACCTTCTGCTAATTTTCACTCCTCTACTTTTTCTTCCCTGTAGGTGGAAAATATGTTCCTCGAGCTATCTTGGTGGATTTAGAACCTGGTACCATGGACTCTGTTCGCTCAGGTCCTTTTGGCCAGATCTTCAGACCAGACAATTTTGTTTTTGGTAAGTTATATAGGTATTTGTAGATAACCATCATATTCAATTTATGTGGGTGCAGGAGGACAGCAAGAGTTAGAAAGTGATTATTGTATTGAAGAGTTTTTATAGGCCATGTTCTGATATTTCTAATGGAGGGTTGCAGGAGTGACTGCCGTACATGGTAAAGTATGGGTGGGGGGCGTATAGCACAGGTGAGGAAGAAAATGAAGATAGATCCATGGGTATTACTCCAAGAGTTGAAAGGTAATTGTGTACGTATCACACTTTACTAACCAAGTTTGCCTCCGGACCTCATTCCAGGTCAGTCTGGGGCAGGCAACAACTGGGCCAAGGGCCACTATACAGAGGGGGCTGAGCTGGTTGACTCAGTCCTGGATGTGGTGCGGAAGGAGGCTGAAAGCTGTGACTGCCTGCAGGGCTTCCAGCTGACCCACTCACTGGGTGGGGGCACAGGCTCTGGAATGGGCACCTTGCTCATCAGCAAGATCCGTGAGGAGTATCCTGATCGCATCATGAACACCTTCAGTGTTGTACCTTCACCCAAAGTGTCTGACACTGTGGTTGAGCCCTACAACGCCACCCTCTCTGTCCATCAATTGGTAGAGAATACTGATGAGACCTACTGCATTGATAATGAGGCTCTCTATGATATCTGCTTCCGCACCCTCAAACTGACCACACCAACCTATGGGGATCTGAACCACCTTGTCTCAGCCACCATGAGTGGGGTCACCACCTGCCTCCGTTTCCCTGGCCAGCTCAATGCTGACCTTCGCAAGCTGGCAGTCAACATGGTGCCCTTCCCACGCCTCCACTTCTTCATGCCTGGCTTTGCCCCTCTAACCAGCCGTGGAAGCCAGCAGTATCGGGCTCTCACTGTACCAGAACTCACCCAGCAGGTATTTGATGCCAAGAACATGATGGCTGCCTGTGACCCCCGCCATGGCCGGTATCTCACTGTGGCTGCTGTCTTCCGTGGGCGGATGTCCATGAAGGAGGTGGATGAGCAGATGCTCAATGTGCAAAACAAGAATAGCAGCTACTTTGTGGAGTGGATCCCCAACAATGTCAAGACAGCTGTCTGTGACATCCCACCTCGTGGCCTGAAGATGGCAGTCACCTTCATTGGCAACAGCACAGCCATCCAGGAGCTGTTCAAGCGCATCTCAGAGCAGTTCACAGCCATGTTCCGCCGGAAGGCTTTCCTGCACTGGTACACGGGTGAAGGCATGGACGAGATGGAGTTCACCGAGGCTGAGAGCAACATGAATGACCTTGTCTCAGAGTACCAGCAATACCAGGACGCCACTGCAGAAGAGGAGGAGGATTTCGGTGAGGAGGCAGAAGAGGAGGCTTAAGGCCACTTCCATCACTCAGGCTTTTCAGTTCCCTTAGCCTTCGTCCTCAACTGCCCCTTTATTCTCCCTCAGAATTTGCATCTTCTGCCTCTTCTATTCTTTTAGGGGTGTTCTAGAACAGTGCTTGGCACATAATAGGCACTCAATAAATATTTGTTGCTTGTTGAATGTCTCTTCTCTCTTTCCACTCTGGGAAATCTACATTTCTGCCATTTTGGGTAATTTTGTATTTCTTTCTGGTACCCATTCCTTTCACCTGTCCAGTTAATATTTCCCTCTCTGTTTTCAAGATAATTCTCCAAGAAGCTGGGTCGTATCCAGATCCCATTTAGGACTGTGTGCTGAAAAATACCATCTTAAGCCCATGTGGTTGCTGAGCGGAAAGGGACTGATGCTAACACTAGCAGGTAGAAGTCCCTACAAGGAACAGGTGGGGTTTCCCACTCTAGAGCAGTTTTGGAGAGTGGATTTGGGCTGTTCTAGTTTCTGGGTATTTTTCCCTGCTCCACCCGCAGTTGGGAAAGGTATGAACACTATTAACTCAATTTTCAGTCTCGAGCTTTGTTCTGAGTTCTTTCCTTTGTAGGGGGTCTGCTGTTCTCTGTCAAGTGGGATCCTTTCCTCTTCCATTTTACCTCTCATTGATTGCATCCTTTCTCTGGATAGAGAAGGAGGTAAAGGGGGAAGAGCGAAGCCTTGGTCCCTAAGCCTCCAGAAAGGCCCTCCCCATCTCGAGCATTTCTTATCCAAAAAGAAATAGTCTGGTACGTGTGTGAAAAGGTATGTACTGCCACCTAAATGTTGGAGTCATTCCCTGGAGGAGAGGGGACAGGACACCCTCTGTCTTTGGCAAAGTCTAATTTCTTTTGCTATTGCTCCCACACTCCTTGATGTTGGTCTGTCCTATACTTTAAATTTGTTTAGTCTTAAACTTGCTTTTTTTCATACTGAAAAAATGACATTGCTGCCAGAGCCAAAAATAAATGGGAATTGAAAAAAAATTACAAGACTTGTGCTCATTTAGGTGGCTAGTTCACTCACACATATACTGCATTCTCCACGAATTGATAAGAATATCCTTAGTACTTAATTCTCACGTCTTAATCCCTGGTCCCTAACCAGCCCCCCCCCCCACACCAGTACCACTCTTCAAAGAGAAGGGAATGGAGAAGCATGGATTGGTTGCCTCTATGCACCTCGACTGGGGACCAAACCCAACCCACAACCTAGACATGTGCCCTGACCAAAGAACTGATCCTAAGACCCTTTGGTTTGCAGGATAATGCCCAACCAACTGAGCACACTGGCTTGAGCATCATTAACAGTGTTAACTGAGATACAGAGCTCAGATGCGGGATCTAGGAATTGGGGAAGAATCGTGAATGTGAAATGGTGCATATGTAGTTATAAACCAGCAGGGCTTTGGAACCTATAGAATTGCAGGTCCTCAGGCCTCATGCAGTGCACTGAACCAAAATCAGGTTGGATCCCAGCAGTCTTAGCTGTTCCAGAAGAATCTCATGAATGCAGTTAGAGGCCACTATTGCCTCAGTACTGATGTAGAGCACACCCAGGATTTCTGAATATTTTGCTTTCTGTAATGAGGGTTTCTGAGTCAATATAAGATAAAGGTAATTAGTATGGGATAGCACATTATGGTCCCATTCTAAACACTATTCTACACTTAACTATCTCATGCTTTCAAATTGCACAAGATGTCTCAAAGCAACCCAGGAAATTTAAATCCAGTTTCCCTTGGCCATATTTTCAGTAATTCTGGGGACTAATGGAATTCTCCCATTCCTTTCACACCAGCATGCTTTCTGTCCATGAGGACTAAATCAACTGGGGGGGGAGGAATTCAGGTACAGGTAATTGCCATTAAAAGCCGACTGGAAGCAGCAAGCTATATGCTAGCATTCATTTTGAATGAGTTCTGTTTTTACTTAATTGTTCAAGTATAAATACTTAACAGCAACTTATCTGACAAGTTGAGAACCCCCAGCTATCCCTGTCTTAGTCAGAAAATAATTCCAGACAACAGGCTCAGTGTATTTTAATTAGGAAGTTGGGGTGGGGTGGGGTTATCAGAATGCTGGCATGGAACTCTTCGGTGGGGATGGCAGTCTTGGTGTGGGCCTGGGAAGGGGAGCAACCCTTCTCTTCCAAGGCAAGGCACAGGCTATTTGGCAAGGAGAGATGAAGGTGGAATCCCTCTTAAAGGACATGCTCTGGGAGGCCAGTTGAAGTGCATGCAATATGGGGACCATCCAGGCAACTTGAACCATGAAGCTAGGCGTCTGCGAAGGTTGAGGGCTCAGGCTGTTCGCAAAGGCTTGTGGTTTACCTGGCAAAAAAAACAAAACAAAAAAAAAAACCCAAAACAAAACAACCCAGTGGATGCCGAGGGAACCAGATGCCATGTTCTCCTGGGCTCCAACTGGACAAAAGGGTTGCAGGGAGGACATGCACAACCAGGAGTCTTCCAGTTCCCCCTTCCCACCAAGTATAGTTTACATTTATTATCTGTATTAGTTTCTGGTGTAGAGCATGGAAGGAATCTGCTAATTTTTCTGGCACAGACCCTCCATAGCTCACAGTCCACTACAGGCCTCAAGGAGGCCCAAGGAACCCAGCTTGAAGGTCAATGAAATGGTCTAATACATATGTGTATATGTATATATATTTCTTTTTAAAAATTTAACACTTATGTGGTACACACTCTGTGCCAGGCAGTGTTCTAAATACTTTGCAAATATGACTCATTTAGTTGCTATTATTAACCTGTGAGGAGACAGGTATTGAGAAGTTGAGAATTTCTCTGAGGTCATAGCATACACTGGAGTCAGCATTCACACCAAAACAGTCTGGTTTCAGAGCCTGCTGTCTGACCTCTACCATAACTTTCAGGTGAATAAATAGGCACCAGGAAAATCAGTGATATGCCTTGGAATTGTCAACACATTGCTGCTAGTTCCTGGTACTAGAAAGTCAGCCTGGGTTTTGGAAGCTGGGCTTCCCTGGCTGTATGACGTGAACTAAGGTACTTAATATGTTGAAGTTTGGTTTCTTTGTAATGCATCACATTCCCCAGGAACCCAGCGGTTCTGCTCCACAGCCTCCACTCTGGAGACCCTCACCTGGGAGATGCTGATGCCAGTGAGTCTTTCTACACTCTCCGGCAGGTGGCTCAGGATGTCCAGGACTTCCTTGGTCACTTTGGATGCCCCCATGGCCCCACTTCCACTGGACACCAGTGTGATCTTTTTGGCAGAGGTCAAGGGACCACTGATCTCCTCTGCCACCTGGGAAGTGAGACACCCACTTAGCGCCTGAGATCCATCACACCCGTCCTAAAATTGCCTTACTTACCCTGGGTTTTTAAAGACCTCCATCCTACTGATCATCCTTCCTCCCTTTGGTCACTGGTTTATAACTCCCACCCCCAGTTTATGGTTCCCTGCCCTGGTTCTCCTGGCACCCAGCACACAAACCCCAGACCTGGGGCAGCTTCTCTAGCAGCATGTCCAGCTGAGCAGCCTCCTGGTACAGCTGGAACGCTTCTGCCTTCTTTGCCATCTGCTCAGCCTCAGCTCGGGCCCGGGCCCCAATGGCGAAGGCCTCCGCCTCCCCCCGCATCTAAGGAGGATACAAGATACTGTGATACTAATGGCAGCAGTTAAGGGCAAGAAACCCCAGCAGCTCATCAGCAATGCCCACTCCCCACAAACTAGAGAGAGCCACCTCCTAACTCACCCTCACAGACTCAGCTTCTGCCTCTGCCTGCATAATCAGCTGGGACCTGGGCAAACAAGGGGAGTGGAGGAAGAAGCTGAGGCCCTTGCTCCTGAGAGTAAGGTCCCCTACTGGCGGTAGAGGCTCCTACCCCCGGGGTTCTACAGGAGGAGTCCAGGTAGTGAAGGCCTCAGCTCTTCATCTGGGGGTACCCAGGTGGTGAAGGATCCCGGAAGAGCCTGGGAGGGGGCGTTTACTTTTCTGCCTCTGCTAGGCGTTCCAGCTTGTAGCGCTCAGCTTCTGCAGGCTTCCGCACACGGGCCTCCAGCTCCTTTTCTCTGCGGGCAATCTCCTGCTCCTGTACTGCCACCTGCTGGGACCGCTCCACCACCTGCACTTGCACCCTTTGCTCCTCTATCTGCTGCTTCGTTTTGGCCACCTGTGAAGGAGAGATGCTCATCATCAGAGCTGAAGGACAAATGCCCAGGAACCACAGAGAAATCAGGGCAGGGCTCCAGGGTGGGATATAAAAATAGAGCGGGGCCCTGGCTGGTGTAGCTCAGTGGACTGAGTACAGGCTGCGAACCAAAGTGTCACTTGTTCAATTCCCAGTCAGGGCACTGTGCCTGGGTTGCAGGCCAAGTCCCCACTTGGGGGCATGCAAGAGACAACCACACATTGATGTTTCTGTCCTTCCCTTCCTCTCTCTCTAAATATAAATAAAAATAAAATCTTTTTTAAAAAGAGTTTAAAAAAATAAATAATTGAGCGGGTGAAGGGAGTGGTCCCAGTCAGCTCTGCCAGCCCACTGGGGTCCATTTCTGGTACAGATCCAAGGCAACACCTGATCAGAGTCAGTATCAACCATCAGGAATTACACAGGCAGCCTCAGCATCAGACATGGATAGGCCTGGGACCACAGTCCCTGTCTCCCTCAGGCCAGACATAGGGTCCCTACATGAGCTTCGATTGTATTTCTCCACTGTGTCTTCCTATAGCATGTGAGCACCTGGAGAGCACTGAGCACAATGCCTTCTACTTTCCTCCAGTCTAGTTCAAATCTATCCCCTTCACTCTCCGTCTGTGCTGCTGTAACCTTAGTGCAAGCGGCCCTTAACTCCAGGCCCAACTACTGCAATAGCCCCCTACTTTCTTTTTAGGGGGCTGGGTGTATGTGTGTGTGTCTATCATTTTTATTTTTGTATATGGTACAAGTTCAAAAGAAGGAGATACACAGTGGGAAGTAGGCCTCCGTATTTCCCTTCCCCAGGAACAACCACTGTGACTGCTTCTTGTGTACCCTTCCAGGGGCACTCTACAAACATATACAAGAATGCGCATATAGAATGCCTCTTACTTAGGCAGATTTCATTTTCTTATTTCTTGTAGAGTACAAGGAGAAGACTCTTACCAGGATGTTGGTGAGGAGAGGT